TATATCGTATATTTTTTAGGCATATTGCTCAAAATATTTCGAATAAAAAATATATTGAATACGATGTAACGCAAATGTATTTTATTATATCCACATGCATGTAATATTAATAATTATCAATTATTAATACTCTTATATGCGTAACATTTAACACGAAACTAAATCTACAGTTTTATTCAATACATGATATTCCCACAAAGTGAAATGTATAATCTACTCCTAAATGATATTTTTATAACTGAAAATAGGTGTTTTTTTTAAATGTGTAATATTTAATGCATATTGTGTATATTTAACTTTATAATAAGACTTTAGATTCTTCTATACAAATGAATGAATTCAGGGGCTCTTCTGATGTACTTTCAATATAATTCTTTCAATCTCGAGGTCATTTTTATAGTAGGGTTATTGAATCTTTTATGATCAAAACACAAATCGGCTTAAGAATTTTCATGTTTTTCTGTACGTGTGTCAAAAAAACTAAAAATTAATTTTCCGCATCTGTTGCGAAAAAACAATTTTTGTAAATTTATAGAAGTATTTTTATTTTTTATATACCCACGTTGCGTGCATTGATTTAGATTTCATTTTGTATGTATCGAATATTCTTTAAAAAACCCTTTATCCAATATTACCCATTATTAGAATATTATTGCATTATAAGAGTAATTAATTCGTAAAAAATTATGTGCTCAATTTTTTATATTTATGCATATTTATATCATTTGCTTTTATATATTTAAGTTACACATCGATCAATAACTCCCGAGTCTAACATTGAAAACAACATTTTTTTTGCAAAATTTTTTTTTATTCATCAACATAACACCTTTTGTTAATCACCTTTTAGGGTGATACAATCGTTCCAACGCTTTTCCAAATTTTTTTTTTTTTTTTTTGCAAGAAATCTTTTTTGTTGCGAGTAAATAGCGATAAACAGCTTTCTGAATCATCGACTCGTTGCTGTTTTTTAGCAATCGCGGCACCCACTTGGAAAAAACCTTTTTCACTTCACTTCAAAAAACCTTTTTCCTGGTCCGATCGACTTAAAATTTTGACACGTTTCAAGCAAAGGTTAGTACTCTAGAAAGACCTGGTTACTGGTTTACTACGAGCGCCATCTCTGGGCTAGTCTCGGGAGTTATTGATCGATGTGTTAGAAATATTACAACATAGAATTAATTATCAAACAAAGTTTAAAAGTAATTTAAAAGTAATATAGTAGAATAAAGCTTATTAAATAAAAAGAAAACAAAGTATAACTTAATTTAACTTTTTTACGAATGTAACAAAAATTCTACTCAAAAATTAAATTATCCCGTGTACTGTAATAAAAACGAAATGCCAAAAATATTTTTAACTCTTTAAGATATTTTTATAAATTTCACAGACAAGATATTTTTGTGTTTTCTGCTGCAACAATTTTTTTTCCTGTATTGAAATCCAATTTGGAATTGCTTTTATGCATTTTGCCACTAATGCCACTGAATTTCTCTCTTCCGTTTTGGCTATCAATGAAACATTTTTTTCCTCCGCTTTGCCATTGCTGGCATAAAATTCTTTATTTCCCCTATGCTACTCATGTAAATAAATTTCGCACTTCCGTTTAGCACTCATTACATAGAATTTTGTATTTCCGTTTTGCCACTTGAACGAATTTTCGACTTCCGTTTTGCCATTCGTACCATAAAATTCTTAGGTTCCTTTTTGCTACTCATAGCATAAAGAGTTTTAGTTCCGCATTGCCAATTCCATAAAACTTTCACTTCCGTTTTTCCTCTTATGACATGAAATTCTTTTTGCTTCCGTTTACCATCACAAAAATAAATTCCTTTTTTAACTATTTTTATCTTAATAATTTCCTTTATTCTGTTTGACCATCATCAATTAAATTTACTACATCTGTTTTGAATCAGAGCAAAGAACTTGCTTCAACTTTCCTATTTGCTGTTTATTGGAATTATTTTTCTTTCATTACCATTAATCAGAAGTGAAATTAAAATGAAAATTTAAATTTTCGTTTCGTTTTGCATTGAGTTTGATCCATCAAATTAATATAAATCCAAATATGTTATTGAAACTTTTGAAAAACATAAATTAATGACCGTCGAGAATAATTTGTGATAAACGTAAAATCGTTTGCCGAAATCTAACACTTTCAAATCAAATAACGCTCAAGTTAAAGCCAGGATTCCTCCTGGTGCAACTAGAATGTAAATATATAGAGAATATAATTTATATTCTTATGGTTTCTTATGCAAACAACATCAAAAAATAATTTCGCGAAACTAAATAAACAATGTATACATTTTAATCCGATTTACTCTTTTTATAAGAAATAATTTATTTTTAGTGAACTTTTAACGAATGTATTACAATTTAAATTCATTAGAATTCAATAATTTTAGTTTTTGAGTCTCTGCATATTTTTTACTGAGACGCACCACAGATTTCCATCTACGCATCATTACTTAAAACATTGGTCTCCAGATCCATCGCCGAATCACAAATTTGAAAGTTTAAACTTAATTTGTAAAAAAGTGTTGTAAATATTTTTACATTTGTTTTATGCAACTATGTGCAATATATGTATCACATCTTGTAAGTAGTCTGAATACTTGCGATATATGGATGTTTGAAAACATTTGTGACAACGAATTTTCTGAGCAACTTCACATATATGTTTGATAATCGTAAGCATGCAACTGAAATTCGAATATTTCATAATGTGTAATAAACAAATTGGAGAACTTATATGTGAGTGACTTTTATCCAGATAGGAACGTGTTCTCTAACACGCACCTTTTTCATTCTAAGACAGAATAGTTTTTTTAAAAAAAAATATATAAAGTCGTTAAAAATTTCAAAATGTTTTTAACGTGGGTGAGTTTCATCAAGTTTTGAGCATCTTTCAAATCGTTGGCAACCCTTTTCTTCAAAAGCATAAAAGTTTTTTTTAAATATAAAAATATATTAAAAATAATGAAAACATTTCACAGTCCTTAACATTATCGAAAACCGGAATGTATTCCGTACAAATATTTTTCCAAGACTGTATGCAAAAATTCAAGTTCTGAAATGATCAAAATTTCGTGCAAACCCAAATGATTCGTTGTTTTAAATTTGGGCATGTAGGGGGAGGGGGAATTAAAAATCACTTCGAATGAAAATTGTACCCAAAAAGACCCAAAGGAACAGCACTTTGACGGAACAACAGAGGAGGAGGGCCGAATTTTTATTTTTTCCCGAATCCAAGCGTTAGGTTTCACGTCTCCTCTCGGAGGGCAGGTGGCTTGCCCAACTACGTACCATTATGTTTCGCCCTATATAAGGAACCCTCTCTCCCGACATGAGGAGTTTTGGTAGTAATTCCTCCCACCGTATAAATTCTCAGTTAAACTCCATTGAGGGCAGCCAATAGCAGCATCAGAGTACTTCATCTCTCAGCCAATAGCAATACAAGCATCTGCCTGCACTACAAGAAGCAAGAAACTTCCTTCCACTCATTCTACCATCCATTCTACCATGAAGAGACTTTTTCTCCACCAGATTTGGCTAGTTTTGCTGGCGCATCAACTTAGCTTTCTGCTTATAAAAAACGTTCTACTGATCTAATATTTTCAAACTTTTACCTCCATATTCTTTAGATTCCGCTCCATAGAATTGAAACTCCATATTTGCCAAGAAACTATTATTTCACAATATTCGGGGTAGAAGTGTGCTCCGCGCTCTATTCGACCGTCGATAAACAAATGTCAACGTCAACGTCAGTGACATTGAAGTAAGAGAATTGACGTAATCACTGTAATGACTAAGCGGCACGCGTTAGCTGAGTTTTTGACTTCATGTGATTGAGGACTGCTTGAGCCATAGGGTGTTTTGCTCCGGTCTTTCGTGTCGTTAGTTTCATTGACAATAGCGTCATTGCTTGAATCTTGGTTAGCGGTAACGAAGTTGTTTCCTTGTAGGCTGTATATGTGCGATCCAGTTGCGAATTAGTGATGGTACATAAAAAATGTGTTGTGGGGGATGCGATGAAGTGAATCGGAGCGTCCCCAGTAGTGAAGGATTGGTTTATTGGTCGGCGAAGGGTTACCGTAAATTGGTTTGGGCTCTGAGTCTGCTTTCGGACAAGTATGTTTGGAAAGCTACTTGCGGTTTACATGACGCGACCCAACGATTTTATGTCCCGGCATCGATCTTCCGGTATTTTCCCCGATTAATAAAGACCTTTGAGTGATGTTCGCGATGGGGGTGGAAGTGGTTAATGTAAATCAAACCTTCGAGTGCGGTCCTTTTTGTATCACGCTACCCAACGATTTTCTGTGCTGAAAATGCCTTCAGGATCTTCTACCCTGATTTATTTGGTTTCGTCCCGGGGTTCGTGATACGGAGGATTCCAAGCGCCAAAGTTGACACAGGGGTGAGTAGATAGGTCCCTACCCGACTCGTCTTGAAACACGGACTAAGGAGACAAACATGTGTACGAGTCATTGGGTATCAATTATGTTCAAAAGAGGAAATCAGCGAGGCTCCGCACCGACGACCTGTCCCATCCACTATGTAGCTGTGGGGCGGAGTTTGAGCGCACACGTTGGAACTCGAAAGATGAACTATGCTTGGACAGGACGATGTCAGGAAACTCTAGTGGAGGTTTAGTAGCTGGTTCCCTCAGACTAACTGGCGCCCTGAAGTTCAATCTTTTCTGGAAAAGCGAATGATTAGACGCATTGGGGCCGAAACAATCGTAATCTACTCTCAAATGCTCAATGATCGAATGTCCCCCTTGCTTCAGTGAAGCCGTAACGAGGAAGGAGAGTACCCAGTGGGCCTCTTTTAATACGCAGAACTGGCGCGTTGGAATGAATCAAATGCTGGGTTATGGTGCCTGATGGGAGACGCTTGCGAGATCCTATGTAAGGTGTTTGTTACTCTCGAAAGCAAGATAGTGGCCATGGAAGTCGTAATCCGCTAAGAGTGTTACAACTTACCTGATGAAACAGTTAGCTCTAAAAATGGATAGCACTCCTGTTTATGTGAGGAACTTCGGATGGCAGTGAGTAGGGGATGGTGATGGAGAGTATCGAAAGCACGGGAGCAAGCCTGCCTGAAGGCTCCGTCGATGCAGATCTTGGGGGTAGTAGCAAATACTCAAATGAGAATCTTGAGGATGAAGAAGGGTTCCATGTGAACATTTGTTGAACGTATGTGAGTCGACCCTTATGGATCGTAGAGATCCATTTCTGAAACGAGACCTTATCGATTTCTGAATTTGTATCGATGCCGAACAAAAGGGAATCGGTTTAAAAGTCCCATAAATATAGACTGGGGCACCGACCCTGAGTTCGGTAAAGCAAACTAAGGCGCCCGGGGGAAGGGAACCAGGGAAAATGGATGTACAGTTGTCCCTTGAAGAGAATCATGCTGAGACAGAGACTTGGCCTCGAAAGAACAACTCTTTTCACGAGAGTGTTTGCGACCATTTTACCGGCCCTTGCAAATCTGAGAGACAGAGTGTGGTTTTCGTACTAATCCATATCCATAACCGCAGAAGATCTCCAAGGTGAACAACCTCTAGTCGATACAATGATGTAGGTACGGGAAGCCGGGAAGTTTGATCCATAACTTTGGAATAAGGATTGGCTGAGAGAGCCGTTGTGAGGTGGGAAGCACGAGGGTTTTCCTGTACGTACTGTGAGTTTTTCCCCGCGTGGAATACCTCAGCAAGACGGTGAATATGGATCGAGTCTGCGGTACTGTACCCTTTCAGTGGACGCTTGACGGCCGACTCAGAACCGTCACGGACAAACGGAATCCGACAGTTTAATTAAAACACTGCGATCAGTGTTGACTCTATGTGATTTCTTCCCAGTGCTCTAAATGTCTTAAGTGATGAAATTCATCAGAGCTTGGGTAAACGGTGAGAGTTACTGTAATCCGGGATTAATTTTTTAGATTATTTTCAATCCACCGTGACCGAGGTACCCTAGTGATCTTTCTTTCCCATGGGGTTTACTGTCTTTGGTAAACACGGGTGACGCACTCCCGGGATACCCTAGCGATCTTTCTCTATTTACGACCCTCCTTCTTGTCAACCACCTTTTTCTTTTTTCACCTTCACGTCTAGACCACAGTTTAATCTTGTTTGGCGCAGCATAGCCATATCTGGCTCTTGCGCCAATAAACTTTACATTCACTCAATCCACCGTGAATACTTTTGGAACTCTAATGGCTGTATTCACCGTTAACTGGACCGGACAATGAAACTCGAAGTTGAGGAACCGAGGTTAAGAAAAAGTAAAACATCGGATTCAACTTCAGTGCACTATTATGTTTTTTAACCACGATTACTTAACTGCGAGGTTCCTAACCTGCGGCTACGAATTATGTCTCATTGGTCAAAATAGACCCGGTGATCACAACTGATTTCTTTACATGTTAGCTGAAAAATTTATTCATTAAATTCATTTCGATCAATGTATTTGTTATTATCATATTTCTTAGATTATTCAAAAATTTTAGGCAGGAAATAATCTCAGTATATTTTTATGTATCGTTTATTCTCGAGTAATTGCGTTGTTAAAATATAGTTCGTTAAGTTAAGCCAGTCTATACTTCTGGCATTTGCTTGCATACTTATGACGTAAGTTTAATGTTATTTTTTGCTCAGAAAAGTGTATATATTTTTAAACTGTCAACAAATATTGAGTTGTTCTCACCTTTATGTTTTAATTAAACTTATTTTGTGCTTCAAAACAGAAGATTTTTGCTTTATAAACGTTTTTTGCATCATTGGATCATCGGAGAGATATCGTTAGATTTTGCATCATTAAAGATTCAGTTTTTATTTAAATTAAAACCATGTTCTTAAAGAAAAGTATAATCTCAAATGTATTACTTCTGTCTTAAAGATCTGAAATTTACTTTAATGTGTTAAGAATAATTTGGAAGAAAAGCTATAACTAAACTGGGCTCATAGGTTGTGGTTAGAATGTTCGTTTTACGGAAGGGATGAAGAGACCCAAACGAGTGGACCTGGCCTATTTATCTATCGATGGCACTCTGATCCGTATACTTTTGTTAGAAATTTAATTTTAATTTACGGAAAATCCTTCGAAATATTATTTAGTTTACCAATTGAATTGTGATGAAACTGTAAATTAACAAAAAACGTGATCCAATTTCTTCTTATTTTTAATCATAGCTTTCATTACCATACGAAATTGAGAAAAAAAGAAACATGTAAATTAATTAAAAATATATATCTTACTTGTCACCATTATAATAACTTCATTTATTGTTTCTATACATAAATAGAGGGGTTTTTTTTTTTTTTTTTTTTTTTTTAGAAATAGTGTGTGTTTAAAAGCGATTTCATCCGAAACTTTCAAGGTAAGTTGTCTTAATACCTGTTAATACATAAATTACTATTTGTAACGATTAATTCCTCGGAAACAGATTAAACGTTTTTTTTTACATATATTTAATATATACTGTGATTCTTGAATCCTTTTTTCATTTAAAATTCCTTGCATTTATGTTTTTATTAGATGAAAATATTTCATTACCCAATATATGAAAAGTATTTGCATATGTGCACGTCTCCATACCTCTCAATTCAAACATTTGCTGAAATTAGGGCCAAAACTCTAAATATTCGTGTTGCTAAATTATCAAATAATCAGAGGCAAATACTGCCAGGTAGAAAATGCAAAATACACTAGTGGAGATTTATTTCTGTAGGACTAAAAATTAGGTTTGAGAAATAGTGTTTTTTCTTCTTATCCAACGAGTGCGAAATTGTCCTAAATTTTGCATTTTATATAAATAAATCTTAGTTTATTTTAAAAAGCTTTTTTTTAATTTGTCCCAGTTAAATATTAAGAGGATTTTTAAGTTTGAAGAGGATTTATTTTTGAAATTTTAAGAAATAAATTATTAATCTTCAAATAAATAAATTTATAAGATTGATATTGTTTTTCAAAGTGCAGTGGAATGAATTTGGTAAATTTATTTAAAATATTTAGTTTGGAAATGTTTTTGCAGTTTTAGATTACTTTCCTGCATTTTGTTCAATACTGGCCAATAATGCTTTTGAGCTACAAGCAAAAAGATTATTTCCAGAATAGAAATTTAAGGTAAAACCGATATCCTGAAATATTAGATACTTAGTATGGTGTCTAACAAAAGGATATGCATAAAAACTATAAATCGTTTGCTAGAATCATTAACTAATTGGTTTCACATAGAAATGGACTATTTTTCTAAACAAAATTCTAATAAAATCAGTGTTTATTAAAACACTTAGTAATCGAGTTAGTACCTGTATCTAAAGGTACTATTCATCTTTACACTCTGTCTTACTAAAAAAATATTGTCTGGTGATTTGTAATCAATATTTTATTTTCAAAGTACTCTTAATGCATTTCATATTTTATTCTTCTGACTAGGAACTAATAATATTTGTTATGATTAGTTTTTAAAAAAGTATCAAAATTTCCTCAAAAACCAATTCATTATTTCTTACTAGACAGCACATTTCAAGACCAAGGTTACCAATCCCCGTCAAAAAAGAACTTTATTCAAGTAGATATTCGACCTGAGTGGTGACCGGGTATGACAGAATAGTTTCACTGTAGCTCATGCATGTCGTAAAAGGCGACTAAAATGGGTACACAGCGTCTGGGGGTATAGCCGGGCACCCTGCCCCTGGGGATTATATCAGGGGACCTCAGGGACTTGCTTTCTTCAGGTAAGTACGGGCTCCATGACCCCGAGGCACCTTAGTGATCTTTTTCTTTCCCATGGGGTTTACTGTCTTTGGTAAACACGGGTGACGCACTCCCTGGATACCCTAGCGATCCTTCTCTATTTTCGACCCTCCTTCTTGTCAACCATTTTTACCTTTTTTTTTCAACTTCACGTCTAGACCACAGTTTAATCTTGTTTGGCGCAGCATAGCCATATCTGGCTCTTGCGCCAATAAAATTTTACATTCACTCACTCACTCAAGTAGATATTCCGCAATGTAGTGTTCTCAGCTTATATTTATACAACATCTACATGCAAGGTTTTCCACACCACGCCATTCCCTGTATGTTGATAATTGCTGGATTTCGTCCAGGGTGTTAATGTAAATTACATATTAAGAAATATACAAATCCTCATTGATATCTTTTAGGAATGACTAATATATTGAGAATAGTCATTTATGTAGATCACTCCCAAGCAAACATGTCCCGAAAAGTGGAACCCCTTTAATCTCACACTTATTGAAGATTAAATCAACTGAGTTTTGGCGATTCGATACCTGGGATTACAAAATGACTTACATATATACAACACATAAATTATATTACCGGTAAATTTTAGGGGAATTAACTTATGCATTGCGCTCATAGGTAGAAAGTACTACCTTTCACCAAACAACAAAGTAATCTTTTATAAGCTGGGTTTTTTTTTGTTTTTTGGTCTAATTATTACTCATGCTGCCCCTGTGCAGGACACGGCAGCCTCAACGCATTCGAAAAAATTTCAAACTATGCGAAAAAAAATTATTTAGAATGATATCATCCACAGCAAACTCAGGATTGAAAACTTAACAAAGCTACCTAGAAACTTTTTCAATTCTATTGAAAACCACAAAACCCAATTACTAAAAATGAAATTTTCTTGCATTGCCACATTCTCAATTAAATTTCGTTTAAATAGGACAAAAAGGTCAAAGCCATCATAGTATAATTTTCTTCTTTATTTAGATTTTTGCATTTTTTGAAGTTTTCCAAATTTTTTACTGTACTCAATCGTACTACTAGCATTAACGTTCCTAAAATTTTCTACTTCACCTTGTAGCGTAGGCTATAAATAACCCCTCCACAGACTAGTTTTGAACCCCGTTCGTTTCCCAGCTTCCCATTCATTGAAAATATACAGCTTAAAAGCAATAAAGAACAAAATCAGGTGCGGCAAAGTTGAATCCTCTTTTGAGGTATTGTCGATCCCATGTCATGGATATTTTGGAATTTATGGCCTAGCTGTGTGACGGCCGACACCGACTTGCACGGGGGAAAGACGGACATTGTTCGACCTGAGCGAATAGTGTTGCAGGGGACAAAACGGAGTTTCTCTTTAATTGGGTTGTTCTTGGAAAAAAGGAGAATAACTCAAAAAGAAGGCGGGGGAGAGACCTACCCGAGGTATTAAAAAGGGTGAAAGAGAAGAAGAGAGGATTCCGGCTAAGGAGCGGAGAAAGCGATACAGCTATAAGTGGGAGGCGATTGCCTTCGTTTGCGAATGGAGAACTAAATCGAATACTGAGATATTGGAGTTTTTTTCAACTATAAGTGTTTAGACCTGCTGTGTAGATATATGCGTTTTGCCTCGGTGCTATGTAATTAGATGTGTAGCATGGTGTAAAAAGAATCTAGGCGGAAAAGAGTAAACTTAAGTTAATCTTTTTTAAATAAAGAATTATCGCCTCTTAAGCTGTGTGATCCCTTGTTTACCATTTTCATTCTACACATTCAGGGATCACGACGTTGCAACCTCATTATTTTTGTTTCTCTTTTCTTTACTCGTTTTGCTTTCGACATTAACTTACCCTTTCTAATGGGTTTTCTTCTACTCACATTGTAATTATGCCTGAGTAAAAACTTTAAAAGCATTTTCCTCGATTTTATAGCGTTCAATCGAGCTGAAATTTTCTATACGCCATTGTTTTGGATAACAAAACGGTAATTTAATTAAAATTAATAAAATTTAATTGATAAAAACTAATTATTTAAAGAGTTAAATTTGACATTCTCTTTCATTCTTAAAATTAATGATATAAAAAAATTACGTTAAATTAAAGTATGAAGTTTAAAAGAAAACCCGCGTTCAAAAAACTCGTTTTTTACCGGTATTATTTAAATTTTAATTACTAGTTTGTGA